TCGTTTTTTTTTTGCCATTATTTTCTTTCCTTTTATTCCTCTGCTTTTAGATTTGTTTGCCTTATGAAAATCAAATAATTCAAAATTAAACGAAACTTGGAGCTAGTAATGCTTTCACTTCTTCCTCTCCTGACAATCAATTCTAAATTTAATCATTTGATAGTTTTTTTGCTGTGAAAATCTCTTTTGACCTTTAGGTATTCTCTTTAATTATCCTTTTTTTTTCTTTAAAATAAACATTTTTTATTTAAAATACTTTTATTGTTGTTATTTTTTTAAAATTAATATAAATAAAAATTAAAATTGTCTTGAAATTCTTTATCTAAACATAAAATCAAATTGCGTCTATTATTGTAGAATGAAAAGAGTATTGTTTTTATGAGTTTATGGAACAAAATTTTAGAACTAAATATATGTTAATCTTGGTTGTAAAATAGGTCCGATTATGTCCTTACTAATGGCTTGGTAGCCCTAATTATCACATTTTTTGCTTATTTTTTCACTTTAAATTTTTATAAACCCTATTTCCTTTTAGTTATGTGTAGTCTGCTAATCTAATATCACCACCCCCGACCACAAAAGAGAAGAAAATCCAATTATCAGAATGCTTTTACTAACTTTTTGCACTTAACCAGTTTCGCTATAGATGTCCGCATTAATTAGCTTCTGTTATTTGAAGCAAAAGTTGTCTAATTTATTATAATTTGAAGTGATAAATGAAAGAAATGCACAGAGTAATGATAATTCATGATATAGGATCAAATAAGATGAAATATTATTATTGGTAAATTGTACTTCGTTCATTTGAACCGAAAACAAATTGATCCCTCAAACAACAATAAAATAAAGATTAAAATACTAATTTGATCACGTAACTTTTAAATTTATATCAAAATTATCCCTATATTTTAATTTTTAGTACCAAAATAGTTTTCAAACTTTGAAGATAGTACCAATGTGGTCCTTAAACTTTGAAAATAAGTTCTAACTTAATCTTTGAACTTTAACTAGAAATATCAATTTAGTTTTTCAATTTTGATTAAATATTAATCTAATATCCAAATAGAAATATATCTCAATAGCAAAATATAATTATTTGATTTTACACATTATTAATATTTTAAAAAAGAATTGATTTTATGGCAAAAGTAACAAGTTACATGGCGTTTCTGTTAACAAAAAAATATATATTTTGGAATGGAAAATTAATGTTTAGGGATAATTTTTGTATTCTATAAAGATGAGGGACAATTTTGTTATAATTCTAAAATTTAAGGGATCAAATTGGTATTTAAACCTAAAATAAGAAAGAAATAGCTCAATGGCAACATAGATCTATTTCACAATTTGCAGCAACTATTATTTGAGTTAGTAGTACTCTGAAATTGTGGATTGTTCTATCATAAAAAACAAGTCTCAAGCCTCTACA